TCCCCTTTTCCCATGACTTATGTGCCTGTAACGATGAACATAATTGACAGCAGGTTACTTTTTACTTCCGACCTATACCAATGAAATGACCCGAGGAGGATTTAGCGAAACCTACGTATGCTCGCCCGATCTTCTTCTGAATTTTCTGATAATAATGTTATCAACTTTGGAGTATATTAAGAGATTTCTCTTCAATACAAACCACTTTTAGTAACAATGTTATTTTACCGACAAGCACGGAGCACACTCACGAAGGCCGTTTCTGCTTACTTATGCATCATCAAATGGTGGTAGCTCAACTTTAGGTCAGCAGCAGAAATTGCCGCCACACTTGAGTTTCGAACTCGCGTCTTTCCGGCCAGAGGCGAACGCTCTAACCTTTGAGCCACGGTTCCGCCGTTTTGTCGCTTTGCACACAGATCTGAAGCAGATCTGAAACAGATCGGCGTACAATAACCCACTACTATCTTATCCCGATCACAAACCGACAACACGGCGGACCCGTGGCTCAAAGGTTAGAGCGTTCGCCTCTGGCCGGAGAGACGCGAGTTCGGAAACTCGAGTGTGGACGGCAACTTCCGCTGCTACACTAGAGTTGAGCTACCACCACTTGATGACGCCGAAGTAGGCAGAAATGGCCTTTGTGAGTGCGCTCCGTGTTTGTCGGTAAAATAAAAATAACATTGTTACTAAAAATTGGCGAGTAATATATAAAATTGGGGTGCCAATTAGCTCGCAAAAGGAACAATCAAATCAGGATAGGTGCATCCTGAAACAAATTGGTGTACAATAACCCACTACAAACCACTTTATTTATTTTACTTTGCTTCACACACAAAGTAGAAAAACTACCATAATCTGCGTTTCGTATATTTATTTTACTATTTTTCTCTATAGTAGGTATAAAAATAAAAGCCAGGAAAAAACAAGTATTACTTTTTATGTTCCAAATAAAGCTCCGTCATTATATCACTAGCTTATGTTCTGTGTTGGTGGTGCACACAAAATACACTCACAAGAGTCGAGTTCACTACAGGTTTCATTGTGACCTTTATTCCTGAATAATTATTAAATCACATTTTTGTCTAGTTCGTCTGCCAAAAAGGTATATGTTGCCGAATACGGTTGACTACGTGTTTTGTCTGATTCTGAACTGTTCATTAGACAGAAGGCGCAATATCCATTTTTATTGAACGGCACATAATGAAAAATATTAAGGAAGCACTTTAAATAAAAGTAGTTTTCTTATTCTGACGTTCTATCTTTTATAAAAGGATATGAGGACAATTATTAACGAAGATCTCGGGATACGCACCGACAAAGTTAGAGACTTCTTCAAACAGGTTTTATGCGGTTTAGAATTCTGCCATCAGAACAACATCACTCACTGTGATCTAAAACCGGAGAATATCCTCAAAAGAAATGATGATGTTATAAAAATAGGTGGTTTTGGTAAGTTTCCCTCATTAACTTGTTTTTATATTAGGCATTTTTTCGGCCTATTCCGTACTCAAAAGTTTCTCAGATTGCAATGCCGTCGATACTGATTAACTAAACGTGCGCTGCACGCGAAGATTTTGAGTAGCTTTTGTGTTGTGTAGAGCGCAACAGAAAAAAAATCAAAATGTGTAAACAGACATATAACTGAGGCCTAGTTGTTGTAACGGTAGCTAAAGCCCGAGATGTCACCGCCTACATTCGTCCTGTGTCAGCCCCCAAGGAAGAACACGACAAGAACAGGGCAAAAAAGGTATGTACTTGAGTGTAACTAATACAACATATTTAGGGCAACAAACGCGCGTAACCTATGTCCATCGGGCCCATCAGCTTCTGGCCCGGTGTGGATAGTGGCACGACTGGCTGTTTATAACAGTGCTTCCATGCGTCCATGTGTGTTCATGATTTGACTAATTCCAGAAAACTAAAAAGCTTTAGGAAAATTTTCATAAATCCATTTCTCAGGTTCCTTTGCTTTTCAAAAAAGACTTTTCAACAACCAGTTATCGAGGCAGTATTTATAAGGGAAACCCTCACTTTCTAGGCAACTAAATAACTCCTAATGCTTATATTAATCAAACGAGGAGTTTAAATCGTAAGGATCATCTGACCTGTGAAATAACCATTGGTATGACTATATTCATACCCATCAATCGTACGTTATGTAACGCCCAGTACTTATTCCATTAACGCAGTAGCTTATGGCTGTGTATGCTAACCAAATAATTAATCAGCTAACTCAAAAACTGTTTATATGTCTAACCATATTAATTTTCGCCCGGTATCAAATTACCTGATCTTTCACAAACCTTGATGATTTCGAACATATTTTAGTTGATAGAACGGTTACATTTGCCTGTTGGTTTCGCCTCCTTAAAACTCATTTCATTCTGGTACTAATGTCCTGCTGTGAATGACAGAACCTAGATGGTTAGTTCTAAGTTTATCTCCGTACCTGAGTGCAATTTTAATTGCTATTTCTACGAACGCCTGTGATAGCGTTGCCACTCCTGAACTGGAGCTCTTTTATATCGCATAAATGAGGTAGTTAAAATATGGTTTCGATCATTTCACCTCGTGGTTCCAAGTAAGTGGTTTAGTTATTTCAATTTTTGCAAGCAGAAAGTGCACTTCTTATTTCGGTTTTCATCGAATAGTATCTATAACAAAACCCTAACAAATAAGAGGGTGTAAAAATATTATTACTTATCATTGACTTACGTTCATTTTGCATTATAGATCTTAATAGGCAAATGACTAATCAAAGTGATAATCCTACCTCCGAGGATAATACTCTTTGGTATGTAATCCTACAGCGTTGGGGATTTAAACATACACTTTTCATTAGCGACGGTACAAGTTGTTAACTATGGAGATAGGTGAACCTTCAAAAAAGGTTCATTTATATATTCAATACATCGTATAAATACACATTTTAGGTTCTTTATTTTTAATTTTTCAAAATGCTTTCAGGTACAAACCGCCGGAAATACTTCTCGGTGAAACTAAATATGACGGTAAAGTCGACATCTGGAGCGCTGGATGCATACTTTTCGAAATGATTGTCCAAAAGCCGCTTTTCCCTGGCAACGATACAGACTCCGAAATTTGCTACATTTTTAATCGTTTAGGTAGGCACAAATCGTTTCAAAAATTGATGATTTGGAAACTGTACAGTTATGGACCAATATTACTGTCCAGCGCTTTTTGCATAGCTTTATATAGTATGCATTACGCAGTAAAACTCTTCAGAGTTCTGAACAGTAATCTCTTTTTTAAAGGTCAATGTTATATTTACGCTCATTATACCAATCAAATATTTATATGCCGATAAAATTTATAACGTTCTATCGACAGTCAGTATTATGCCACTTGTAAATGTATCATTTGCGCTTATTATATACTATTTAATAAGACTAGATTTCCACCAGCGGTAAAACAGACGAATCGAACGTCAGAAGAATAAAGTGTTTACCGGAAGAGGATTATTTTGTATCTGGGGTGTCGTGTAGTGGTCTCGTCTACCCATCTTCAGAGAACAAACACTCTGACTGAGGGTTTTCGTTATATGCCGGTCCTGTTTTTCGTGAATATACTCTACCAATCCCAGATAAGCCGCTGTCTATGTCTCGCGTCCCGTTGGCAGCCTCCTTTTTGACCCTGTCTGTCGCCGTGCCGCTAGCGTTTGAAGCTTATCACCTAGGAATCCAGTTTTCACTACAATTATAAATCAAATGACCAAACGGCAAGAATCTGTCCGCATATGATTCAGTCGATGTTTTCTACTATCCACTGTGAAGGTTGGCGGTAGGTTATGCTGCAAAACTAAAACAACCACTGCTGATTTTTCGCAGTTGGTTAAGCGCTACTGTCTACAGGCTGGGTCCCGAAAAGAAAAATAAGAAGTTGTAGGTTAGTTCGGAGGATGCTGTATTTTGTACAAAACTCTAAGACAAAGAGTTGAAAAGCGAGTAGCGGAGCGAATGTGTACCTCTATTGCTTGGAGATTCAGTGTCTGCGTGTG